AACCCTTGAAAGCCCAAACCCTGTACCCCGCCCTGACCCCTTTGCCTCCAAACTCGTCAAACACCCTAACCCCTAAACCCTAAATTATCGGTAAGCCCCTTACACCCCATAAAAACCCTAGCACCCTACCCCTAACCCCGAGACCCTGAACCCTCTGCTACCCTGCAAAAATCGGAAACCCTGACACTTTTCATATAGGGGCCTATATTTAATTTGAACAGGGTTTTGGCGTACCCTACTTTTTTTGCACCCCCAGAATAGTATTGGTAATTATTTCGCCCCCCCCCCCCCATCTCTCAAAACCCCCTGGTCTCTGGCCCAGGAGGGGCCTCCGGGTCCTCGCAAGTCTCGATACTCGCCTGGGCGCCAGGGGAGTTTGGTTTGGGCTCAGCCGACTTCGGGTTTACACATGGGTTGTCAAAATCAGGGTCCCTTGTTGGCTCAGTATTATACTACGGCACCTAATAGTTAGGGTAGCCAAAAAGGGACCCTAATTTTGACAACCACCCATAGGGGTTCAATAGGGTTCCAAAAGGCTGCGTTTTAGATGGTTTAGGGGCTGAGGGTTGTGGGTCTTGCTTGGAGTACAGGGTCTTCGGGTCTATATGACGTATGGGCTCCAAAACTGCTTCCATACTAAACCACTGGGGAGACTTGCAAAATAGAATCTCACCTCTCCTATTCCAGATTCCGAAACTTCACTGGGCCAAGCGAGGGATGCACTGATTCGGAGTCTTTACGGTTAAGGGGTTTAAGGCTTACCGTTGAGAGTTTTGAAGGGTTAGAGTTTCTTTAAACTCACTCCACACTGAAAGCCGCGGGTGGTTGGTTTCCTTGGGCCGCGGCCACCTCTGAGCAGCACTTGCTCACCAAGGGCAGCCAAGTGGTAGAAGAATGACTGCCCGAAGCACATGGCAACATCCAGATATGGAAAGGTCCAGTGTACCTTATATCGTCCCTCTATAGCTATAGTATACTGTGCCGCCAAAACCCAATTAATTCTGGTTTTCACCTTATGGCCCCCATAGAGGTATAGTATACTAATTACGGGTTCTTCGTTTTCTGTGCCCCAAAACCCTACTCTTGTTTGCCGCTGCTGCGCCTCGCAGCAGTTCTTGAAGATGCTCAGCGACGCCAAAGCCTTCTCGGGCTTGAGGGGCAGCGGCGCGCTCACGGTGCCCCTGCACCGGGAAGCACTCGACACTAAGTATCGGCATCTTACCTATAATACAATCCATGGCAGTTCCTTGTTTTGCTACCTTCATTTAATCTTAGTAAGGGATGCTATCCATACAGCTGAAAACATATACCACCTAGACTACGGCATTGGGCTGGTTTGCTAAGCTATCTGAGCAGAGGGCCTGGTCGCGCTTCGCTGGGGAGCATCCTCCACCTGCTCGAGGACTCATTTCAGCGACGCTACACCGCAGCGATGTACCAGCACCCTAATCTTGGTCAACAAAAACAAAGCTCTGTACCTGAACTCTTGTACTCTAGACCCCCAAAACCCTGATGCCTCCGTCTGAATCTGAAGCCCAGGTTTTCGAAGGCTCCGGAGCGACTTTCCTGACCAGAGAGGCTGATCGTAAAGAACATCTTGAACTCACTGGCGTTGAAGCAAAAACTTGCCACAAACTGATGCCAAGGCGCGGAGCTCGCCCTTAGCAGCAAACCACCAGCGGGGTGGCCGCAGTAGCAGTACAAGTAGTAATAGTAGTAGTAGTAGTAGTAGTAGCAGTAGTAGTAGCAGCAATAGTAGTAGTAGTAGTAGTAGTAGTAGTAGTAGTAGTAGTAGTAGTAGTAGTAGTAGTAGTAGTAGTAGTAGTAGTAGTAGTATTAGTAGTAGTAGTAGGAGGAGCAGCAGCAGGAGCAGGAGCAGGAGCAGGAGCAGGAGCAGGAGCAGGAGCAGGAGCAGGAGCAGTAGCAGTAGGAGTAGCAGTAGCAGTAGCAGTAGCAGTAGGAGGAGTAGGAGGAGTAGGAGGAGTAGGAGGAGTAGGAGGAGTAGGAGGAGTAGGAGGAGTAGGAGGAGGAGGAGTAGGAGTAGGAGTAGGAGTAGGAGTAGGAGTAGTAGGAGTAGTAGGAGTAGTAGGAGTAGTAGGAGTAGTAGTAGTAGTAGTAGTCGTCGTCGTCGTCGTAGTGGCAGTGGTAGTGGTAGTGGTAGTGGTAGTGGCAGTGGCAGTGGCAGTGGCAGTGGCAGTGTCGGCAGCAGCGGCAGCAGCAGGAGGAGGAGTAGTAGTAGTAGTAGCAGTAGTAGTATATAGTAGTAGTCGTCGTCGTAGTAGCAGTGGTGGTAGTAGCAAAACCAATCCTAGTGCTCGTGATGCCGAACCTCTCGATCCAAACCCTACGAACAGCAGCACAGAAAACCACATGACCATCACAGGCTAAACGAAATCTATGAAGTCTTCAGAACTCAGTTGCTCGAATCTGCCAAAGGGCCGGGTTCAAGGATTTTCCACTGTTGGACACCACGGAGGCAGCCGACCCCCTGGGAAAGGTTTTGGGCGCGGAGTTCCTTGAAATTAGGGATCCGTCATCTCGAATTCCTCCTAATCCTAGTGCTCGTGGTCTGCATCGGGGGTGTTTGTAGGCTTGGAGAGGTCAGGGCTGAGGGCAGTTTCGGGGCTGCAGGGCTTTGAGCCGAGGCAGTGAACGATAGGACTTGTTATCGCCAATTTTAATGACTAATACTATGATTATGGTTTTTGTTGTTACTATTGTCATGCATATTACTATGCTGTTGCTATGCTTTCGGGCTTTCTGGAAAGTGCTGCGACAAGCTTCTGATGTTGCTGCGTTCCCATCTCGACCACAATTGAGAAGTCTACACGTGTCAAAATTACGACAACAGACTTCTCCGCCTTTGTAAGGCCATGGACGGAAGCAGCTTAGCTTAGCATGTAAATGTAAGTCTGGCTTATGTTCCATTCGCCGCCAGGTCTCACTGTCTCATCCCTCCAGCTGTGCATCACCAGAACAACCGAACATGGCAACATGAAACACAGAAATGGGCAGATGCTGCTATGCGGAACATCTGCTGGGAGGCCTTCGCGAAGGCCCATCCTCGCACTGTAATCACGGCAAGATCAAAGCATCAATGAAGACACTTCCACGCTTCAGCGCTGGTTCGCCTCGTAGTATCCCAAGGAGCTCGCTCGGCTAACATCGCTGTCGTTGCCTCGGCCGGGAGCACCAGTCATGAAACTTCCACGTCCTCCAACTTCCAGCTTCACTGCCGAGGTGCTCCTTTTCGACAGCGTGCGCCCAACGGTCGGGCTATCACTTCGAGCCTCGCACAAGGCTTAGGACTCACTCTCACCGTGCTGCTTCGCACTCTGCAGTTCATTCTTGCAGCTTCCGTCCTATTGATCCATATGACTTTTGCTAGGTATTTACCATTATGGTCGTAACTGCTTACCATTTGTTGCCGATGTTATCAGTGTGTTCATGCTTCATGATGGGACGGCTGCGGCCTCTTTGGCAGCGCTGACCACTCCAGCAAGGCCACCTCAGGGGTCGCAATCCGATGCGGTTTAGGGCTGTGGGTTGTAATAAGGGGGTTCTACAGCTTAGGGCTTTGGAGTTGCGGGAGGCCTTGAATGGCCCCATCGTGGAACACGGCCGCAGCTTGCTTCTTCCCTGCCTTCCAGGCAAGAGCAGTGTCAAAGATGGCTAGGTCGACTCCCAAGGCGCCAGAAATATAGTAGAGGGGCCAGAATAATTGGAGAAGGCAGTACGAGGACTACTTTAAGGAAATATTGCTGCCCCCATGGTACATCATGAGGTCGCCTGCCGAAGACGTTGTCGTAGCAGCTCTTTCCTCACGGCCTCCTGGGTCGACTGTCAACGTCCACAGGACTGCTGTCAACGTGCTCTCTTTCGGTCCTGAGAACGCAAGGCCGTAGGTGAAGCCGGCGAAAGATCCTCTGTATCAGGCATGCGGAGGCATGCGGGAGAAGAGGTAGGGCCGACGTCACCACTTGAGTGCGTTCGTACTTGTAGCAGGTGTAGATACACTACAGCAACTTCAGCGCACGACTCTAAGCGCAATTTCAAGAGGGCCGCGCTTCATCTTGCATGGCTCATTTGCTCGCACCATGGCTTTGCCCGGCAATCGAGCATCTGCCCATCTGCAGTCCACGGGAAGCAAGAGCAACTTAGTGTTGAGCTACATAGACATTGACATAGAGGTCATGCAGCATCAAGTCTTGAAGCTTCCACTGGCAGACTAAATCGAGAAGCCTTGGAAACCTTAATCTTCAACTGTCCCCTACTGCGCCAATGTAAACTCGCATAAGCCCTGCTCTGTGCATGTCCAGGATGCGTGAATGCTATCTCGTTCTTGTTAAACTGCTCTTTAACATGTAGCTTGAGGTTCCTGCGGGTTTGTTGCCGAAATCGCGACACTGCATCGACGGGTACCGAAAAGGGGTCAAGGGGGCGCTGCATCTTCTTTGGAAGTGCTCCTCGCGAATGTGGAAACTCATTGATTTATTGGGCATTGATTGTACATCAACAGCTACATGGCACGAAATCCAAGACCAGCAAGATTTTCCTGAATACACTTATATAGATGATTTTGAAAAAGCTGCTGACAAAACACGACACGCCACTACAACAAAAATCGAGCATCATGCTCAGCCGGCTTTTCGTGCTGCAGAAGCCTCGCTCCAGCAATGTGCAGCGAGACCAGGCTCTCACGCGTGCCATGGACCTGGGATGCTACGCCCATGAGTTTAGGCAGGGAGAGCCTATGCAATAACTCCTAAACTTTAACCCCTTGCAAGCCCTAAGACCCGACAACCTAAACCCAAACAACACAAACCCTCAAACTCTCCAGCGTCGGCATCACCTCGCCATGCCACCGCGAGGCTGTGCAAAGAACTGCTGCCTAGCTTCACACCCTCATCAGGTCTGCTAGTGCCAGCACGAATTCAACACCCCAAAGCTCTAAAATCTTCTACAGGGCTTTGCCAGGCTTACGAAGCTTTTCTTCTGATTTACTCGCGTTCTGGAATCGCGAGACTTAGGCCTTCACCGAAGCAGAAAGTCAGGTGCCATCCCTGAAAAATATCTGCAGCCCAGGCTGCGCCGAAACTTGGCAAAGAATGTAGCGCCTGGCACACAGACGATGTAGGGGTCAGAATAGCCGGAACAGAGTCTAAGGTACATCAAGCTGTATTATGTAGGGACGGTCAGTTTACTGCCTGGCATGAAAGCGGTCAGGCCTGGCACAAAGCTGAGTCTAATGAGTACGGGTCAGGTTTTTACGCCAACACACAAAAACCCGAGCAGAAGGCACCTCGTGGCTGCAAAGCCCACCTGGCATCACCATGTACCATGTCTCGACAGTCAAAGGCCAACTTATATAGGCCCCTGCAATTTACGAATTTGTGGCTTTAAGGGTTCAGGATTTAGGGGTCAGGCTTTAGGGGTTTGGGATTTGGGGGCTTGGGCCTCAAGGGGTTGACGGGTAGGGGGTGGACTAGGTGTTGAAGGGTCAAGGTCCTTTTTCCAGCTTGGGGGGGGCAGCCACCTACGGCCCATTGGACCATGAACCTCGGACTCCCTGACCTCCACACCAAGCCACACTTCAGGGGCTTGTGGTTCAAGGGTTTAAAACTTAGGGCTTAGGGGTTCAGGAAGTCGTAAAGCCACACAGCCAGAGAGGGCCTTGCAAAGAACTCAGTGCTGGAGCCAAAGCCGATTGAACGAATCGGCCTGAACAAGGCGGAATCTCACACTGATGGGCGTGTTCGGGTCACCATTAGGGGTTTTTCCTTGGGGTCATGTTCTATTTCTCTTCCTACCTGGTCTGCGTCTGCTATCATCTCCAGTTTAAGCCACTCCAGGTAACCCCAACACCGAAACCTTGACTCTCAACTCTGTATCGGAAGAAGCAGGACTTCGAGCTTACATGCGCTGATATCGTAGTATCAGATTGAGGTTTGCCTCCAGCCACACATCATGCATCATGCACCCTGCAACCCCAAAGCCTAAACTCGAACCAAATCCGGGCAAAATCTCTGGAAAAAGCGAAACCAACACCCTCGCGCCTTGGTGCCTCCAAAGATCGGCCGTTTTGTTTTTTTGGCTCTCGGCCATGCTCCTACTAGTAAACGTAGCTAAAATTGTACCCCCATTCCTCCATTCCCTACTAACCAAAGGTAAGTTAGACAAAGTACCTCGCTCCCGCCTCGAGGCTCCCAGTACTGTAATGGTAGCACTGTAGGTCCCGCATGCTACAGTTTAACCCCTCCGCCCTCCGCTACAGTTTAAGGTTTAGGGCTTCGGGTTTAGGGTTTAGGTGGGTTTAGGCTTCTGGTACCCAAAAAGGCCGACCACTTGAGTCCTTGGACTCTAAGAGTCGTTACGCATAGTCCAAGTTCAATCACGACTGGGCTGCTTCTCGATCAAACCACGACACATCCCAGTGTCTTCGAGCTTGGGGTGTTCAGTTCAAAGACCGGATAGAGTCTGATGGAGCATCGGATGGCCCATGCTGAGGCTGCAACCGGTTTACTTCACAAAACCTCGTCAAACTCCGAACCCATCTTCGGAGTACCGAAGAGAGCTCTTTACTAATTCATGTCGAAGCAAGATGCAAAGCCAATGGACCAATACCCAGTACCAATTTTGAATGCTGCTTGGGTCCAAACACCTTGCAAAAAAGGTTTAGGGTGGAGGGCTTACTATATAGGACCATATGGGATAAGGCTTCTGCTGCATGACCGTGATCTGTCAGATTCGTTAAACCAAACTACAAGTAACGCATTGAGCTGGACTGCTTGAGATCTGTGCTTAATGGCTATTTTGATGATCCGATGGCCCCCAATGGAACTTGCAATCCCGAAAAACCTAATCCCAAGCCCTGACAGATATCTAAAGCCCCGAAAGCCTCATCTTTTCGGACAGCTTCACGTTGGAGCTCTGGCTCGAGAGGTACTCCGACCCGGCTGAATAGTCAGGCCAGTTTGTCATCAGACTTCGCTGTTTCGCGTGGTGATGGAGGAGAAGTTGGTGCAGGGTCAGAGATAGCGGATTTGAAATGAGTTGCGATGCCGAGTTCCGCAGTTGACGCCATTGCGACTCCAGCAGGCGTCCCGAGCCCGTGACGTTCAGCCCGGCGGATCCTTTCAAGAAAGTCGCCAGGTCAGAGAGGTGAGACTCTGTCGGGCTTGAATGGCAGCTGAGAAGCAAGGATTGCAGGTGCAGAACTGATGCTTGCCCATTGCCAGAACCCAGGCCGGCCTTTCTCATGGAATGCAAAATCTGAACGGCTACGGTGGGCCTAGCCGCCAAAAGGTGTGCCTTGGCATAGGCCACATATTGGATGTGGGTGGGCTCAACAGCCAACTTGATCGCAAGCATGCCCCATATGCGGTCTGCGCGTCTCCAGTTGCAAAGCATACCTGCTTCATTAACCAAGTTGCCAAGCAGAACAGCGTTAGGTGAAGCATCCTTCGAATCTGAAATCCTATCCAACAGCTCGTCGACTTCGGCGTGCAGCTCGCATCGTTCGAGAAGCGAAAGAAAGCTCGTGTATGAAACGATGTTTATGGGAGCTGTAACTGTCTCCGACCATTCAGCAATCTCCTTCGCCCACTGTAGTGCTTCAGGTCCAACGGCGGCACAAAGGTTCCACGCACTGCCAACCGCGGGATTGAAGTCGAATTCAGACGTTGGTGATGGCATGGCTCGCCAAATCGACTTACCCAGTCGCAAACCGTGCTTGCTTCTTGTTGCCAAAGTGGACTCTCGAAGCCGTTGATCTTTGAGACATGAGGCTATGGCTGTCAAGAAGATTCTGGCTTGGATACCAGACATTTCTATGTTGCTGCGCTTTTGAGCTTCGTGCACTTGCAGTAGCGTCCCCCACCAGCAATTGTACCCGCATTTCTGCATGGCACAGCCTATCACGCTAGCATCCGCTTCCCCTTTTCCCATTGCGGCATACAAACACTGGAGTAAATCCTTCACCGATCTCGACTCCTTTAGTCTTGCCCGCCAATGCCCAAACTTAGGATCTCGTCCAAGTCGGGCGTGGGCGTGGGCATCCGGGTTCACAGGCCAGTTGCCAAAATACAGGTTCTGGTCTTGCTTTTTCCGGCCAGTGCGGCCCATGAACGTGTTCCGTGGCCGCTGCAGCTTCCGCTCGCGCTTCGACGGAGGCACCTGTTCCGGCCTTGAGTGACTCCCACGCTTCACTGCAACGGCCCGATGGCGACAGTCCAAGAAGTTGACGCAGCTGAAGACGGAAGCCATCAACAAGATCAAGCACAGACCCATGCATTCCCGTGAGGTCGGGCATGCAAGCATAGTGGCAGCCTCACAAGCCTTCAACAAAGAAACACCTACCAGCGACGAGAGACATGCTGCCTCTTCTCGAGCCATGACAAGTGGGGCCCGTGGGAGGACTATGTAGCCGTGCACCACCGCGGAAAGTTAGATCACTCTCCAGTATGTTGTCTTGTTTTCTGGCCTGCTGGGTAGACCACAAGCTCACCTTACGAAGTGAGCCTGTCGAACAACCTCGCATGGGAATCTTGTAATGTGTACTGCATTGACTTATTGTAGTTGATGTTGTATATTGTTCATTATAAACCCACCAGGAAGCCTGAACCTCAAGTTTCGACCCAACGTCGACAAACGAATTCTAGCTTGGAATCTCCTGCCCGCCGCTGTATCATAGTAACTTAGGCTAACTGCGAATAGCTGCTGCACTGTGGCTACTAAAACGGCCGTTAGCCCTAAATGAAAGTGCTGTTGCCTCCTTGCAGCTCGCCACAGGAGTCGCCAGCCGCCATTGTATCCATCGCCTCCAATGACGGCGACCGGTGTCGAGTTTCGCACGCAGAAGAGTTTAGGTACACGGACTAGATCGAGGTTTTACTGATTCTGTTCCGATGGTCAAATGTACTCGACGAGTATCAACTTGCCACCTTTGGAGCACTTGCGTGCTCCATGCGACTGTTGCATTCCTGCCACGTTGAATCGTTTTGCAAGCCACTCTGAGGGTCCCGCAATGACAGCATCCAGTGCAGCGGTTGACCTCCGCAGTACATGGCTCTGGCTCAGCGCATGCCGTATCTCCAACCTCGGATGCATATGAAGGGATTGAGGATCTAACGCTTTGGTGCTTGGAGTTCTGGAGTTTAGGCTTACGGGATGAAGCGCCAGAGAGTGGGACCATCTTGCAGCCCAGCTCGAAGCGCCTTCGTCGTTTCAAGTAGGGCACGGCTCTCCCCTGCAGATCTTCTCCCAAAAAGACCTTTCAGCCTGTCCAACATCCTAAGGACTCTGAGGTCATGTTGCTCAATGGCTCTTGCCACATGCCGCAGCTCAAACCTATTTTATAAAACCACAGCGCCGGCTTTGACCTCGGAAACGCCGAGCCGCGCCGAGCCCGGGCGATGCGCTTCATCACAAGCAGCAGCAGCAAAGGCATAGTCCGCCTGACGCAAGGGCCCCTTCGGCTTTGCTACCAAAGGTCCGAGGTATGTCCGCAGCTTTAAAGGCTTAAAGTCAGCGCTACCTGTCCCCGATTCTACAGTTTCTAAAGGGTTTACACAGTTCAGAAATGGAGTGAAAGCCTGATCAAGAAATCTGCCGTCTTGAAAGGCTTCTATGTTCAAGAGGACTCTTCACTGCTACAGATGCTCCTCTAGCGCGAGAGTCCTGTGACGAGAACTAAACCCCAGAACCCGAAACCCCAAAACGTGGACATCCCAAGCCGCAAGCCCTGGAAGCATAAAGCCTGCAACCCTGAAGCCTCGAGGCAGTGAACCCCAACCCGGAAACCCCAAAGCCTTAGAACAAAATACCCCGAAACCCTAAAGCCCTGTAAACCTAAGCCCCGCCCCTCCAAAATCAGCAAAAACCTCAGAACCCCTCCAAATCACTTCTCGGGCTCCGGGCGGGTAGTGTGTCCAGGTCCGAGGAAGCCTCTTCCGCTTGGGTCTGTATAAGTGGAGTTCTGTGGCGGTTGGGTGTAGGCATGAAGATGAACCAGAATGAATGAATGAATGAATGAATGATTGAATGAATGACTGACTGAATGACTGACTGACTGACTGACTGACTGAATGAATGAATGAATGAACGAAGGAATGAATGAATGAATGAATGAAGGGAAGGAAGGAAGGAAGGAAGGAATGAGTGAGTGAATGAGTGACTGAGTGACTGAGTGAGTGAGTGAGTGAGTGACTGAGTGAGTGAGTGACTGAGTGACTGAGTGACTGAATGACTGAATGACTGAATGACTGAATGACTGAATGACTGAATGACTGAATGAATGAATGAATGAATGACTGAATGAATGAAGGAAGGAATGAAGGAATGAAGGAATGAAGGAATGAAGGAATGAAGGAATGAAGAAATGAAGGAAGGAAGGAAGGAAGGAAGGAAGGAATGAATGAACGAATGTGTGTATATGTAAGAGAGGGAGAGAGAGAGAGAGAGAGAGAGAGAGATAGGTAGGCGTATGTGTTTGTATGTATATCTATAACTAGAGGGAGAGAGAGGGAGAGAGAGAGAGAGAGAGGGAGAAAGAGAGAGAGAGAGAGAGAGAGAGAGAGAGAGAGAGAGAGGGATAGAGAGAGAGAGAGTGAGAGAGAAAGAGAGAGGGAGAGATAGAGAGAGAGAGAGAGACAGAGAGAGATACACAGAGAGAGCGCGAGAGAGAGAGAGAGAGAGAGACACGCACACACACGCAACGAAAAAAAATGTCACACGGGTCTGTAGGGTTTCGAATTTATACAACTAAGGGGCTGTCTAAGTCCTGAAGAGGTCGGGTGTAGGGCTTTTTGGACCTGTAGCATACAACGTACATACGGCAAACAGGGTATGGGGATCTAAAACCTTCGCAGAGTCGGGTTTGGTGTTGTGAAGGCTTCAGTGACACATATACGGGGAAATGACAGTTACGCATCATTCTGAGGTCCCGTGCCGGGTAGCCCCAGAAGAGGTCCAGAGCTTGGAGCCACCTTAGAGACACGGTTTTGCGATCGACCCAAGGCCCTACATGGGAGTTTCCGAAAACTGGGGGTACCTATGTGGAGGCTTTTATAACAAGGATCGTATTTAGGGTTCTAGATTAGGGTCTCCTATTTTCGGAAACTCCCACATGTTAAGATTTTAGGATTCCTCATTCTGAACCCTGTGTCTAAGCCAAGTCCCTGATGCAAGTAGGTCTTATGGGTTACAGGTTTGGGGTCTAGTGGCATTTTGGCTTTCAGGTGGTCGACCATGACTTAAAAGTGACGAGCCACAGCCACAAGCCTACATACCAGTAACAAGAGCCCTGGGGAGCGCAACCTACGCCTAGACAGAGGAAAGATGTAGGGGGGTATACTGTACCGAGTATACCTCTGACGGTAATAAGGAAGCCTAAGGAATCATATTGGCAAGTATCTAGGCCTATACATTGCGCCTCGAGCAGAGGCCCTTTGATCGAGATCAAGGGAATGCTGCTCCGACATGGGGCATTGGGCTCTCTGAGAGTCTCAGCAAGGCAAGGGGCAATACCTGCTCCTCTTTAGTTGAGAAGTCACGCCGTTATAGACACCCTACAAAATCATGATGAACACCTTTCAGAGCACTTGATGAGGTTGTTGCAAAACACTCATACGAGCCATTACAGCTGCAACCAGGAGGCTTGGAGACCTTCTGGCAGGCAAGAAGAGCGGCCTTGCACAGATGAGAGCGAGTTTCGGGCAGAGTTCTGTGCTTTGGAGGTCTCTGCTTTGAGGATTTCGGCGTCAAGGTTCGAGGCATCGGGCTTCAAGGCTTTGAAGCCTGCCTGTATGAGCCCTCTAGTGGATTCCGGGCAGTCTCCGAAGGCCCGGGCGGAGCAGCACCTGGAGTCCACGAGGCCACTCCTGGCGTCTCAGAGGTCAGAGAGCAAGAGAACAAGGAGGCTTTTTGGGACTTGGGAGGCGGACCAAAGGACCGCAAGGTCCCACGGCTTCAGAACCTGGGGCTGATATGGGCAGAGGATACGCGAATTCAGACTTGAGGGTGATTAGAGGGTTTAGAATTTATGACTTGAGGGTAGAGGATACTGGAAAGGCAAAACAGAGCTCCTGACGCAGCTTTGGTGCAGTAATCTGGGGAACGGACCATTGCCACAGCCCGTTCCCACTGAGCGGCCTGTGACGTGAGGGAACATGCTGGAGGGCAGAACCGAGAGTCGACCCCCAAAGTCAAAGACTGACTTCCTCGGTGTCTCTGAAGGCTCCACGCTTTGTGCGCTACCAGTAACAGTAAGCCTTGGCACAGGCACTGACTGCTGATCCCACGGCGATGTTGTCAGCCTGTCAAGGTTCAGGAAAGACTTGGTCTCACAGAGTGCAACGCTCTCAGAAGCAGCAGTGCCAAATGATGGCATGTGCATCGAAAGTCCTCCTCAAGCTCTCGTCGTTGAGATAGTAGGAAGAGAGCGTCTTGCCAGAGGCCTTCCCTGAGCAAATGTGCTCAGGTTAGCTTCAGCTGCATTGTGTGGCATGAGCGACATCATCCGCGTCAGCACCCCTCAAAATACAGCTGCTTGACGTGATGCTGACTCTGTACCGACCGCCGCTGATTCTGCGCATGTCTCGCAGAGGTGGGCCATGGAAGAGCAGCTGCCTCTCGCAGGCGCAGATGGCAGTGTTGTAGGACCTCGGGAAGCACTAAAGGGCATCAGGGTTTAGGGTGTAGGGGTTTGGGGAGCCCAGCAAGGTAACCCTGAGCCCAGGCTTTTCAAGCCAAACCTCCAAGACCCTGTCCCAAGCACAAGCAGCTCTGCTTTAATTTCCTTATTCAACCTGAGACTCTTAGATCCTCCCTTGCGAAGTGAGAAGGTACGAAGTACCCTAGGCCCCGACCCATCTAAGAGCTACACCTGCTATCCCTAAACCCTTCAACCCTAAAAACCCGGTGTCCACCTAAAACCCTTAGATTCCTTTTGCACCTTCCGTTCCGAAGGGGGAGGTCGCCTCACAGGTTTCTGCCCCCTGAAACACAGAAAACCTGTAGGATTTGCAGGATTTAAGGTTTTGAGTTGTTGGTCAGAGGTTCAGGTTTGAGCTTCAGGATTTTGGGTTGAGGGTTTTCCCGGATTTGGGGTATCAAAGCCCACAAAAACCGACAATGCTCTACACCTGTTACTTGTGAGGGCAGGCCCAGAGAGCCCAATACCACTCAATTAAGGAATATGGCTTAAATTATATAGGGCTTCATACTATTATTTAAACTACATTCCGTAATTAAGGGGTATTGGGCTCGAAACTTGGGTTTCCCTTTGCAACTTCGAGTTGAGCTCCCGGCACTCCGCTTGGGGAGAGACGGACGTCAGGCAGCTGCAAGAAGAGAGCCAGGGCGAGCTGCCGAAGGATCTTTTCGGTTTTGGGGTTCAGGGATCAGGGTGTTTTTTTTGAACGCCTTTTTCCCCATCGCATTTAAGGTCAGGGATCAGGGTTTGGGGCTCAGGGATTAGGGCGATTAGGGTTTGGAGTTCAGAGATTAGGGTTTTGGGTTCAGGGATTGGGGGTGGGGTTCAGGGATTGGGGTTTGCGGTTGGAGAGCTTCAGGGTTGGTGCGGAGTTCAGATCTTTTCAATTGGGACCATGGCTTCGGATTTCAGCTTCGTGGTCTGGAATGGAGCGGGTATCTGTGCTTTGTAGGGTTTTGGTGCAGATTTGGCTAATTACGGAGTGTTCGAATCTCTGGGCCGTCAGCAACCCTAAACCAATAAACCCCAATTCCTGAGCCCTGCCCCTGCGCTCCTGCCATAAGCCGGCTTTCTCACAGGCGCTCATGGCCTGACGTAGGGGGAGTGTTTCGTCAGAGGGAGTTGTTGAAAAAAAGGTGTTGTTTTGCCTTTAAGGTAGAAGGTATGAGGATCAATCTCAGCAAGAGCTTACTTCATGCAACAGTTGAGAACGCCCGAAGAATAGATCAGTCTGAGCGTCCTGCGGTATTCCAAGATGGAAGGCCTCACATAGACGTCGAAGTGCGCAACTTTCCCGTAGAGCTAGAACTACTAGAATCTGCCAGATCTCCAGGGAGGCGCTGCACAGAGGTCCGCACTTCCTCCCTGCCGCAGCAGGCTCAGAGCAGCCGTCCAACGCCTGGCGAGGCTTTCGGCTCAGGGTTCCCAGAGAGCCCAATATCCCTTAGTTATGGAATATGGCTTAAATTATATAGGGCTTCGTATTATGATTGAAGCTATATTCCTGAATTAAGGGGCATTGGGCTCTTTGGGTTGCGGTTAAAGGAAGGAGCCCTCAAGGTCAGAGACAATCAGCGACGAGTGGGATCGCTATGGGCTTTATGCAACGACAGAAAGGGGCTGCAGGGAAGGAGCAGCACATTTGGAACAGGTTTCGGGGTGTGTGCATCGGTGAGCGTATGCGCAGCGCTCTACCGACAAGACGTGACTCCGAAGCCTTGGACGCCATCTTCTTATTATCCTGCTGCAGTAATTACATACATTAATCATGATCTCAAACATCCTCGTGCAGATGTCTAGTTCTTTATATTAACAATATCTATGCAATTCAGTACATATGATCACCGCTTATGATCCACCGCCCTAAGCCCGGCACGATGCCCGCTCGCAGGCAGCGATTGCCGCCTGCAGAAAGCCGGACTTCTTACGAATCTTCTAGGCGTTTCTCTGGATAAGGCCGCTGCCGTGACGGCTCCCTCATTACGGCCTGGCTCAGCTCGTGCGGAGGCGGCTGGGCTTTTTTTGAAACCATGGGCGTCGCCTTTCGGTGCGAAGCGAAGAAGGTGCAAAGCCTCGCAGCGTTAAGAAGTTAGGAGGATCTCAGGCAGATTGTACTAAACCGTAATTAGCCGTAGCCCCTCAGGCCCTTGAAGCCTAGAAAGCCAAAACCTCAATCAAACCTGGCAATGCTTTTGAACCCAGTCCTGTTCCCACTGTGAGGCCCGCTGACAAGCATTGACCACAGCACCTGGGCGACCGAGACCGTCGATCGAGTCAGCAAAACACCGCACAGATCTGCAGAAGAAGAGTCCAATCAATCATCCACCCGAGCTACCATAGATGTCGGGAGATAGGGTGTGGGCTCATCTGAATATTGACACGTGGATGGAAGCTTGACACGTGGATGGAAGCTGGAAAGCTGTGTCACAGATATCTGGGAGCTTCACAAGAGCTTCACAAGTTGCAGCGGAATGGGGCGTTGGTCCAGTCCGGGCCGAGACATGACATGACATGAGAGCTTCAAAAACTGACGCTGTGGGACCCTGGTCAAGGCAGAGAATAACAAGACCCTCACTACAAGGACCCCGAAACATGGGTATGAAACCCATATCGGCGTCCACCCCAACCTACCGCAACTGCGAGAGTAAGAGACATCGAAAACCTACGAGGACGACCAGTTCTCAAGCCTACCTGTAACCCAGAAGACCCACTGCTTCAGGAGTCTTAGCATGAGGAAGCACAGAAAGAACGGGTCTTCGGGGCCCAGACCCTTAACCGGCTATGGTGTTCCGAAAATACGTAAACTCAACATATAGCCCCTGGAAATTGGGCAACGAGGAGCTGCAGCCAACGTCGTCTGCACGACCAAGCTTGAGGAAGATGTGGAGAGCCCAGCCCCAACCTGCTCTTAGGGGTTGCGTAGGACTTATATAGCGTTTAGGGTTACTATGGGTTACTTTTGCCTGCACCAGAAATTATATAGGCTTGTATATGTTCTAAAATTATAAGAATCTTAGCCAGCCACACACTGGATTTAGTTAAATGATTAAAACATCATTTTATCTTCATCTTCGTCATCATCAAATCATCCTCGGAATCATCCTCAAATCATCCTCTGCCCCACCAATCATCATCTTATTATCATCGGGCTCCCAGGCGCATAAGTCACACACGAATAAACGCAAGGAGTACTTCCACGCATGCTTCCTCAAAGCCTCCTGCATCACCTGCGAACACAAGCCTAAGCAAACTTGTCTTTGAGGGGCCGTGTTTGTCAGTGCACGTATACACTGCAAGTTTGTATGTGCATTCAAGAGGTCCACGTCCTATCGCAAGCACTCGGCAACACAGCCGGCAGCTAATGAGAATTCACTACCGAAAGAGCATCACACAACCATCTGGCTCAGATGACCGCTGCTAGCATACCGACCCGCTCCATCGCCTCACCTCTTCTCCACTACAGGGTTATGCTACAAGAACATAGTCAATCAATTGGCGCACTGTTCATCCTAGACCCTATAGGCCCTTAGGCGATACCCATCGAAAAACCGTGATGTGTTTGAACCGTGGCAACGGGGCGGAGGGGCCCGAGGATGAATTTTGGATAATCCGCGCAGGACGGAGGATGCCAAGAATGATGGTTTCAGGATAATTAAATGATGAAACGATAAACGGATGATGATTTGAGGATGATTTGGGGATGATTTGAGGATGGTTTGAAGATTTTCTGATGATTTTTTGATGATTTTCTGATGATTTTCTGATGATTTTTTTGAAGATTTTCTGATGATTTCTTGATGATTTTTTGAAGATTCCCTGGGGCATTCACACATTTCCCGATTTCCCCACTCCCTGCCCCTGCCTGCCCCTGCCCTCCCCTCCCGGGCGCCCTGAAGATTTTTTGATGATTTTTTGATGATTCCCTGGGGCATTCACACATTTCCCGATTTCCCCACTCCCTGCCCCTGCCTGCCCCTGCCCTCCCTTGCCGGGCGCCCCCCCTGCCTGGGCAACGACGGTTTGAGGCCGTGGCTCAGCGTCACCGAATCATCCTCCAATCTTGCCTTTTCCAAACTGCCATCCCAAAATCATCCTCAAATCCATCCCCTCCAATCCTGGTTTCCTCGAATCATCCTCTCCAGAACATCCTCGCCAGATCATCTGCGACCTGCGTGCCCCAAAAACCGTCGATTCAACACGCCTGCGATCTCTGATGACCTGGTTCCATATCTGTTTCTGTTGTCTGCGCACACGATACGCGTCGCAATGCATTCCATAGCACAGTCTAGAGTCTAGAATATAGAGTCTGCAGAATCTAGAGTATAGAGGAAGTGTGGGGACTGGAGTGAACAGGGAGCATCTTCCAGCAGGAAGAAAAAGAAGCTTCGAGCAAATTCCATCCATTTTAATCTACATGTCACTGGTGTCACCATCAATAGCCACAACAACAATGTCCTGCAAGTGGAGAGTGCAGAGTTGACTACTCCTGATGATATGATGCTTCGACTTACTGATGGGGATGGTTCGTCGATGATGACTACGGATGAGGATGATTTTCGGATGATGTTTTCAACCAGGGTGAAAATGATGATGATGTTGGCCATGATTTGAGGATGGCCAGAACGATGATTTTTTGATAAACTAATTCATTTAGGCTATGCCAATGTGTCCACGCAAGAATCTTATAATTCTAAAACTTATTGGACTAATTGGGTTCTGGATCTGCTGAAGGATCTTGAGCCTTCGGGTCGCTGCAAGGGCTCTTCAATGTCTCGGCTCTGGAACGTACGAAGAAACTACACGTCGTCACCCCACCAACTGACATGGGACCTAGTGTTGCCCATAAAAGCGTACCTATCAAAGCAGACATGATAACAACTGTTGCAGTTTTCAGCATGATGAAACATACTGCATCCTGCTGCAAAAAAACTAATCATGATGGTACTGCTGAAGTCTCAATCTATTTCCTTCCTTGCTCATCCGAGCGGCGAGAGGCGCGCCCGCACGCAGTGATTGCGGCATTGCGACCTTGACATCATGGCAACTGATCTATAGAGCAGCAGTCTGCACGAGATCGATCCCGAATTTGGTCATGAATTCACCCGCCCATAGTCGTCGTTGTCGGATCAATCTTGGCTGTGTTTTCCGGCTGTCGTACTCTGGAGCAGCTGGTGCTTTACGGAGCCGAGTGCACGAATCGTGTGGATATCTTGGATCTCAAAGGTTTAGTGTTTAGGGTTTAACACCGGGTATGCGGAATATGGTTTCGAGATTCGAGGCTCGGCCTCACAAGTACATCCCGATGGGTTTCCAATGGGCTAGGGCTTTACCGTCAGTTCGAGGCCGAGCAAACACTTAAGTACGCCCAAGTCCCGTTCTTTATGCAACCAGGTTGCAAACCTGCACGCTGCGAGGAGAATGCACCTCTCGTTCCTGCAGGACGCTGTTTTGCCGGGTGTGCAGTCTCTGGGTTCTGGATGGTTCTGGGGTATAGGAAAAATTAGAGCTGTATCGCGGCTCCGTTCAAGCCGGTGCAGGTCCTGCTTCAATCCATGCAAGTCGTTAATCTGGTCCAGCAAGGAGAGCGCCCCTTGCCAGTGAGATCCTGCAGCGGCATGCTAACATCATCTCAACTACCATCGGAAGCTTCCATGCTCAGGTCCCTCGGCGCAGGCATTGATGGCTGCCCCGATGGAGACGGGCTCAACGGACTGCACAAGCAAAATGAAGCTGACAGAAACAACAAGAGGGAGCAAGGCCTAGGACTGAAGAGTCTAACGCAGAAACCGACTGAAATTAACGTCACAAAGGGCCACTGAGGAGCCGTTCAGCCAAGTTGGATCGAAGCTGAGTGCATGCATGTCGAGAATGACACCCCACCTGAAACGAAGAAGCAAGGCCTCCAGCTCGGACTCGAAGATGAAGAACAAGAAGAGGGCCTGCAACCAGACGAAGGCGAATGAAAGAACATGGTGCAGAATTGAACGGAAACACCGCTCGGCAGAAACCAGCTTTCACCAATTTAAGAGACCCTCAGAAAGATGTCGTTGGGATGCTCAGGCTATAGCACCTGTCGGAGTCATTCGATCCGAATATGTGGAACGTTGAACCGAATTTGCCGCAAGATGTGTGCCAAGAGCAACCTGCTACTGGAAGCGACAGCAGGCGATCATGCTCAATCTGTGAGCCTCATCTGTGACTCAAATCGGTTGTATGAATTCACCAACTGCTTCGGGAGAGCTCTCAGGACTGCTGTCGGGTGACAAGGTTCGATGTCTCTTACAAGCCCAAAATTCTTTTGCGTCACATATCAGATCACACATCGCGAGGGATCTGCAAGCTCGGGAACCCTATAGTAAGACTTTCTCAAAGAGGCCTGCTGCCAGCGATCCGCACGGAGGAGTGCTGCAATAGCTGCACTGCGTCCGACTTCGTTTGGCCTGGGAGACTTTCGGTTCTTAGCTTGCAGGGTTTAGGGTGTAGGGTTTAGGGCCTTGGGCTTAAAAGGGCTTAGTGTTCAGGGCTTAACAGGGTTTAGGGTTTAGGGCTTAAAAGGGCTTAGGGCTTAAATGGGCTTGGGGTTTAGGGCTTAAAAGGGTTTAGGGCTTAGGGCTTAAAAGGGAGGGCTTAACAGGGTTTAGGGTTTAGGGCTTCAATCGGCTTAGGGTTTAGGGCTTAACAGGGTTTAGGGTTTAGGGCTTAAAAGGGCTTAGGGCTTAAATGGGCTTGGGGTTTAGGGCTTCAAAGGGTTTAGGGCCTAGGGCTTAAAAGGGAGGGCTTAACAGGGTTTAGGGTTTAGGGCTTCAATCGGCTTAGGGTTTAGGGCCTAACAGGGTTTAGGGTTTAGGGCTTAAAAGGGCTTAGGGCTTAAATGGGCTTGGGGTTTAGGGCTTAAAAGGGTTTAGGGCTTAGGGCTTAAAAGGGAGGGCTTAACAGGGTTTAGGGTTTAGGGCTTCAATCGGCTTAGGGTTTAGGGCTTAACAGGGTTTAGGGTTTAGGGCTTAAAAGGGCTTAGGGCTTAAATGGGCTAGGGCTTAAAAGGGAGGGCTTAACAGGGTTTAGGGTTTAGGGCTTCAATCGGCTTAGGGTTTAGGGCTTAACAGGGTTTAGGGTTTAGGGCTTAAAAGGGCTTAGGGCTTAAATGGGCTTGGGGTTTAGGGCTTCAAAGGGTTTAGGGCTTAGGGCTTAAAAGGGAGGGCTTAACAGGGTTTAGGGTTTAGGGCTTCAATCGGCTTAGGGTTTAGGGCTTAACAGGGTTTAGGGTTTAGGGCTTAAAAGGGTTTAGGGTTTAGGGCTTAACAGGGTTTAGGGTTTAGGGCTTAAAAAGGCCCCCAATACCTGGGTGTAGTAGGGCATGTCTTCCTGGTATGGGATTCTTCATCGGCAGGTTGTGAAGCCTCCAGGGATGGTAGAAAGACCGGGCGCCCGGCAGACCCTGGCCAGTGTCCTTCAAAAAGCTCAAGATGCGGAGAGTCTCCTGGGGCGCGAGAGTAGCCGAAGCCCAAGGCCCTGAACTCTTCCTTTAGCCCCATGTTGACGAAAGCTTCCTGGCAGCACTGGTACACCATACCTTCCGAATCGGAGGCCTGCCATCGGGCTCCCGCAGCACATACTCCGAGGCCTTGAACATGGTAGGCAAAGCTTTGGAGTTGTGGTTCCGTGCTGGGGGGGGGGGGTTGATGGCCTAGGTTGGAAGTGTCATCGGCTTGGAATGTTCCTAGAAGCTGTTTCGGAACTCCGAAAGACAATCAGGAAGTCCCATATAAACTGCAAAGCAGCAGAGCAAAAACAACAGCTCGAGTCTGCGTGATGGGAAGTCTACCGGCGCCTGCGGAGAGAGCGCGGACATCTAGGCTCTGCCTGCAAGCGGCTAGGGGCCACTGTAAGGGTTCAGAGTTTGAAGCTCTTGTTGATACGAACCGAGGCCAAAACCAACCCCATAAGTCCCTTAATTACTAAAACGGTAACATGAATACTCCGGAGGGCAGGATAGGGCTGGCGGCTGGTGTATGCGACTCCATGACATGTCTGCACGTCATCTTACAATGCCGCAACCGGCGGAGTCCGCTGGAGTTTGATGCGGGTGAACACACACATGTAGGCAAGTCCATAAACGAGGCATCTGCAGCGGGAAAGCTGAACACGCTCTTTTGACATTGAAGGCACGCTTCCGTCGAGTCGATGTTCGAATCCGAGGGCATACCCCACAGGTTGTTCCACACTTCTTTCACGAGGAACCTTGATCCATAACGTCAGCACTCTGTGCCATGTTAGCTGCAAATCTTGCAGTGAACGCCCGTGGGATCTAGGCTCTAGAAACATCGGAGGCCCGCTGTAGCAGCGGGATTACTGCTGTGGCTCACGCCGCCATGCCATGCTGTCGATTGCACTGCGGACTCGCAACTGTAGCACCAAGAAACAAGTAGGCACTGGTGTTTTGAGAAGCTCGGCCAAACATTAGAAGCTTTTGGTTGCTGCAGGGACATCATCTGGCGCAGTTTGGGCAAGTGCAATCAAAGCCTTGGCATGGACTCCCCCAAAACTAAAACCAATCACTGCGAAGCAGAGTGCACATTTCAGGGTTGTCGCTGTATTGCAGACGAAGAGATATGAACAGATGCTCGATCACCACACTACTAGAAAGGCCAACTGGGCACACGCACCCGATCAGGTCTACCATGGAAGACCGCGTCTCAGCCAGATTTCGAAGCCTGCTCAGGCAGAAAGTCTTGCAACCGCACAAGACAGCCCCGCCGGATCAGATTCGTTAGCCAGAACAGCACCTCTTCATCCTTGGATCGTGTCCCCCAGGCCTTAAGCTTCAGAAAGCCCCGCTGAAGATCATAGCTGAGATCGCTGGTCACGTACCTGCAGTCAACTTCGCATCTCTTCTCAACTGGGTAGTCTAGCATGAAGTGGATTGGACAGGTCACGTTCGAGTCTCTCCTTCTGCTGTGGCGTACTTCAGCCGGCCGAGGACCTGCAAGCGAGAAGCTAAAGGGTCTCAGCTTTGCCGTACTACAATACGGGTTATATGCAATTAGTAGGAGATCTTTGTTGTGATGTTTAAGCATACTGCTACAATATGGAGTTATATTATATTCGACTGATTATGATATTGGAGATCTCATGTCTCAGTACCCTGGGCTGGCTCGGGCTGCTTCGCCTCGCTGACCCGCTTGCCGCTGACCTGACCGAGCACAACTTCTTGCATCTGTCGTGGTCGCATGGGCGAGGGAGTGTAGGGTTAGCTGGCGATCCTCAAGCCTTAACTTGCCCTAAACCTGTGTCTCTTGTCTTACTCCGGCCTGCAGTTCGCCCGAAAATCGCACAAGTCTTGCGGCCACGGTGCTCGCCCACAGCGTCTGGCGACGTAGGGCTTGATTCGTGCGTTGTTCGCCTCGGAGGGCAGCAACTCGACAGTAGTCAGTATGGCCTTCATTATCAAACAGCCAAAATTGGGGACCCCTGTTTTCAGAAACCCACCGACATCAGCATTGTGCCCTGCATCTCAGAACTTGCTCGAAGGAGTCATAAACCTAAAACAGCCCTGGACCGCAAACCCTAATCCGACGGATCGCAGGAAACCCGCAACCCCTACAAAAGCCCATCCAGACCGGAGCCTCCATTTAAAAGCCTCTGAACCAACCAAAAAACCGAAATCCTCAGCGCCCGCTCCTCTTTGCTTTTCTCTGTCTGCAGAATGACGGCATTGCTCGGGAAGTTCGCCTCTTCAGCTTCCATGTTTCTAGACTTGACTGTAGGACCTGTCTATTAAGGTTTACTTCTAAGTACAAGGCTTTCAGAGGCCTTGGGAGGCGATCTTGCAGGGGGGGGCCTTGGGATTGATTGTCCAGGAGTGCTCGCGCTGGTCGTGTTGCTGCTGTTGTTCTCACTTGGAGTACCAGTACCTTTGCATCGCGATCTGATTTCTATTGCTGAGGACAAGGAAACTGTCGCAATTTAGAATAGCTGCAGTGATTTCAGGATCCTGCCAACCGGGACTACGTAAATAGTATTCTGAAGCGCTTGTCGCGCCTTCCGCCGTGTCGCCTTCGCCTTCTTCGCCACAGCCTGAACAACTGGAAGTGAACGAATCTGTCTGAGCTTATCTCTCCGCTGTACCGAACGGTCGTCTAGTCTTCTATACATATGTACCACACGTATATTAGTGCATCCGCACATGCATCCATCCATGAAAGCCTGCATGTATGCATCCGTTCGTACATACATACCTATACATATATACATACATACATACATACATACATACATACATACATACATACACGCGCACATACATACATACATACATACATACATACATCCATGCATGCATACATACATACATAAATATACATATACATGACATGCCTTAAGTGCTTACATACGTACTTCCTCGCTTACTTACAATTGCAAGCGAACTTAACATTCATACACGTGTTGGTCTAGCTGTCTCTTTTGGTTTACCGTCCAAGCCTCTGTTTTCGTTCTTTCGTCACAAGTACCTGGACCTCGAGGTATGCACATGTGCAAAAAACCTAAACCCCTAAACACTAAACCAATAAACCCTAAACGGTGAACCCTAAACCGAATGCGCATGGCCAAAGCACCCTGGCCTTGGTCTTGCCCGGCTTGCCCGTGCCTGGCCTCTGGCTTGGCTTCCTGCAGCGACTATGAAGTGCGGTCTCGCTGGCGTCCCAGGAGCCAGCATGTAACAAAGCAAAAGATATGAATACTGTAGTACACCTCAAAGTTTGTATGCCTTCTCTTGTATGTGTCCGAGAAAAATCTCAAGTAAGGAATACTGCCTACAGTGTCTACAGAGAGTTCTCCAACAGGATTTGGGCAACAGGCCTCGCCAAGGCTCTCTATACTCCCTCTAAACTTCCGCACTGCGTCCCACGACCTCCAGTGAACTCCCAGCTTAACACTCTGAAGTCTTCTGCGGTGCATTCACTGAAAGGCGGGCCTCTTTTCATGGTGCTTGCCTTCGGCATCATCATCTGTCGGCCAGCTCATGATGACCTTGTGCCGCAGGGCCGCTACTCGCACAAACAAATCCCAAGCACGAAACGAGTTCCTTCCAAAACTCGGGTGGCTGAGCTCACCCCGCACTGTGCTCCCAGGAATCAGGAGCAATGGGCCGAGGGGCCTCGTTGGTGCGCTTGGGGTTGAATCGAAGCGCCCGCGGCCTCAGAGCAGTCGAAGCTCTGCACGGCAGCAACACGCCCAGCATCCGGGTGCAGGGCCATTTGTCCATGAGTATGCCGATGTTGCGCTGCTCCTACACTGGCCAACACTGGCCATGGATCGATACTGCATGCATTCCCTTCGAAAGTATTCAGCAGAAGCCACCCGTTCCTCCTTGCCCTTCTTGTCCCGGTTCGAGCACGCACCGCCACTGTTCGAGTAGTGCTTGACCGTCAGGGTCATGCGGTTGCAGCGCATGACCTCGAGTCACAGGTCAATTGAAAGGTTCAATAAAACCGTGAACGTTGCCCCACCTCACCCCGCAAAAGAACCAAATAAATCCTGAAACCTTATAACTGTTAACCTCTAGATACTGAGCACTGACTCAACGCCATGTCCTCAACCTGTGAATCCTAAGCCATAAACCCTTATACCCTTAACCTCCACCTCCAAATCCCAAACTTTCCGCACACTCTCGATGGCTCCTGGGGCCGCCGCGCCGCCATGAGCTCGGATGTGCGAGCAAGTGAAGTCCTTGGTCGCTTACGCTTCAATTACCAGCTACAGTTTGTTGGGGTTTGGGGCCGTTTAGGGTTTAGAAGCTTGGATACCAAATCTGTTTGAGGGTTGTCAGTTTATACCCTTATTACATCCTAAACCGCAAACCCTACTAAGGTTTGGCCAGGCCATCCGGCGGAGAGTGTTGATGTTTGTCTAACGCGGTTTGGCCGAAGGCCTTTCTGAAAGGCTTGGCTGAGGATCCTTTGGTTTTGTTTTGCAGCAAGATAACCATCGGTTGGAAAACAGCCTTCCTTCCTTCATCATCATCATCCTCGATGACACATCTGCTCCGGAAAGCAAAACAAAGCGCGCTCTCTTTCCGCATAGTATGTGGACTAGCTGAGCCGCGATGGTACAGAGCGTAAGAGAGGGACAGTCCTAAAACTGGTTGCTTGGCCTTGGCTAGCACTGCAATTTGTAAATCCCAAAAGCTTGAAATAGGAATCCAACCTTTCAAACTAACGGGACCCAAGCCCAACCCCAGACTCCGAAATGTTAAACCCTGGTCACCCTAGTCAACCACTGACGCCTGTTCGGTCTATTCTTCAGAAAGGGACATAATCTTCCTTCAGGTTCAAGTTCTCGTCGAAGCGAACCTGGCATGGCCGGAGAAGGAGACAGCAAGAGTCAAACAAGTCCGCAACCTTCAACCTTGCGAATGCAAACATAGGGCAGACCGCCACAGCTATATGTCGCAGAAGGCGAAGCCATGTACGACTGTTCATTTTGCAAGCTCTTTACGATAGTTCTGCCATATGCTGTGCTTTACGGCTACATGATTCTGTGCAATGATGGAGTGGTATTGCATTCTACTGTCTGTTCGATGTATTCTACTCTGCTGATGTCTGTAATACTGAATATTTTGAACGTGCTGTGCTGGGCCGAACTTGTTGCTCAGGGACGCAAGCCGTTGCTCAGTCCGCCCCGCTTGTCTCTTCCGATAAACTCCTCCACACAATCTCTTGATGTATCTTTCGTAAGACTAGCAGCACGTTTGACTAAGCTCTCACACATGCAAAACACTGCGAAGTATCTTGCATAGAGTGAACACCGCAAACTGTGCGTGCATATTCGTATTATCTGTTTACAGGTAGAAACAGATCACG